ACAGCCTTATGAGCTTATTATTTGGGTTTTAAAAATGGACAACATGTTTTTTTCATGGAAGATTGTACAATAGACACAAGTTCAAGCAAATTTAGATAGATATAGCAGAGCCAAACAATGAATTAAGCTGCACCAGACAGCTGTTTCCTTTTTCTTAAGGACTCGACAGTGGTTATAAGGGCCTAAGTGTTATGCCTAAAAGAGGTGACAGAGGAAAATCCAAAGTGATCGAAAGAAAATTAAAAATCTAGCTGAGGAGATACACTAGACGTAAAAGTCAGTAAATTTCATAATTTTTATATATCTGCATGATTATTAACAAATAAATTTAATCAATGCACTGCTAGTGAACTAAGCTCTGCAGTGAATTATGCAGTTCTCCTTATGCATTACATAAAGATTAATCTCAATGTTGAATGTGCATGCTCAAGTGAATCCAACTCGGCAAATTCAAGTCACGCTGACAGTAAACTCTGAAGCAACCTAAAGACAAATTATCCTGGCTAGAAATAAATCTCCATATTGAGATCGCTATTTAAAAAAAAAAAACTCTGTATGGACTCTAGATTGATGTGTCTGCATAGCTGTTGCCTGGCTTATTTATAACCGCAAATGATCCAAAACATTATCACTGATTATAAATAATAACTCTGGCACCTGGTTTTACGTTGTGTACTGCGTGGTACTCATTGTGAACTTTCAGTTGTAGAATTGATATATAAGAGATGATTAAGAAGCATGGCTGAGTGAGGTTTGGAGGATTTCAATGACAAATAAAAACTGAAGAATATGTTTTTAGCCTACTATACAGCCTACTATCAATAAAATGAATTTGACAATGAGATCCTAATTAGATTGTTATTTGTAGAGTTATTGTCCTTTCCTCTTTTATTTTCATTGGACCTTACTGATTCAATTCTAATTTACAGTATTCTGTTACAATTTTATTACCATTGGGCGATAACTTGAGTAGATATGCATGGACAAGAGGGTTTATTTAATCATTATTTGCAGATATAATACCCTTTACATTTTAATTCCATCGGACCTTGCAAACATAATAGCTTGATTAGATATAAACAGATTTTAATAAAAAATGGTATGCTGCTTTCTATTAATAAGATCTAGGAGTGGTTTGACAAAGGTACCAATTTAATTATAACTTATAGAATTATGACCCTTTGGATTTCTTCAAATTAATAAAATCTTAACTGAGTTTGACCATGAGACAGATTTGACTGTACTATACAGAGTTATGACCCTTTGTAACCAGATCCCACCAACAGTTCATAGTTAAATAATTTTGTCAATTAATTTGTCACTGTTGTCAAAAACAAAATATTGTACAAAAACAACAAAGACTTTAATGATTTATTACCAGTTGATGTTATAATATTATCAAGTTTGTACAGAAATACAACATTATACCAATATAAGTGAATTATGGTCAAAACATGATTAATATTTGTAATTAAATCTAAAGTAATATCACATTTTCTTTCTTAATAAATTTTCTTATTTCACAAAATTACTATCACTGAATAAAATTTGGGTGAAACTTCACAATGAAATAAAAAGAGGCAAAAAGGCGATGTGTCGAAAGGCAAATGATATATACAATATAGAAGTGAATATGATCAATTATGATCAATTGCAGAACACAAACTGTGTTTGAGAAACTTCCCAGTTTGTGGTACTTTTCAAAACACAGTTTCAAGTCAGCAAAAAAAAGGGAAATTGTTTCCCGAAAAATCAAATCAAAATCAACAACTGTCATATTGATTTTTTTAGCATTTCATGCAAATTGGCATTAAGTCAGTGTTATGTTTACAAATTTTTGTAAATGTAGAAGTTTCTCATGGTTTTTGTACGACATTGATTGAAAACTTAGATAATGAATTTTCAAAATGAACTAGTCAACATTTAGACAGCAATTTGAACTGTTCCCAGAAAGGATCAATTCTGGTCTTGATGATATCATAAATTATAACATTTGTATGTTGCACTTTCATTTAGAATTAGATTTTTGAATATTCTGTAATAGTATTTTGATATCATTTATATGTCCTCGCCATTTCATGTTTGAGGGCACAATATATCTTTGCTAAAGATTTTGTAGGCAGTACTTCACTTTTATTGGTACGCCAATGGGAACTGCATGGGTATAGTTTTATATTATATTCATTTGACTGTAGAACTTGATATCAGGTTTTAGATATTCTAGAATTGTTTTAAATGTTCTAGAATGGTTTTAAATGTTCTAGAATGGTTTTCTAGAACAGTTTTAGATATTCTAGAATTGTTTTAAATGTTCTAGAATGGTTTTCTAGAACAGTTTTAGATATTCTAGAATTGTTTTAAATGTTCTAGAATGGTTTTCTAGAACGGTTTTAGATATTCTAGAATTGTTTTAAATGTTCTAGAATGGTTTTCTAGAACGGTTTTAGATGTTCTAGAACTGTTTTAGATATTCTAGAATTGTTTTAAATGTTCTAGAATGGTTATATACAGTTTTAGAAAGAATTGTTTTAAATGTTCTAGAATGGTTTTCTAGAACGGTTTTAGATGTTCTAAAACTGTTTTAGATATTCTAAAACTGTTTTAGATGTTCTAGAACTGTTATATACATTCTAGAAAAGTTTTAGATGTTCTAGAGCAGTTTTAGATGTTCTAAAACTGTTATAGACATTCTAGAACAGTTTTAGATGTTCTATAACTGTTAAAGACGTTCTTGAACAGTTTTAGATGTTCTAGAACTGTTATAGACATTCTTGAACAGTTGTAGATGTTCTAGAACTGTTTTAGATGTTCTAGAACTGTTTTAGATGTTCTAGAACTGTTTTAGATGTTCTAGAATGGTTTTTAGATGTTCTAGAACAGTTTTAGATGTTCTAGAATGGTTTTTAGATGTTCTAGAACTGTTCCAGATTTCTAGAATCAAGTTCCAGAGTAATATACCTGATACACTAAAAGTAATCAGAATTCAGACTGATAACTATGGCTATATATAACCTTCTAGTAAGCTATTCAAAAGAGACAAGAAAAGACTCCTCAGCAGTTCAAGAGGGGCATTCTTCAGCAATTCAGGAGGTACCTGAATATTTAAGTAAAAATAGACTTGGAAATGAAGGCTCTTGAGCAATATAACCTTTAGGAACGGAAGTAAGAAAACTGCAGACTCCTTAATGATCAAGAGCTGGCTAGACAAGGCTGTTGAGTAATTCAAGAATGAAATTGAAATAAAGGTAGACAAATTGCCTGTAAGAAAACACTGCTATATATTAATATAGTAATTAAGTATTGGGGTTAAATAACTCCAAAAAGACAAGAATATTCTGCTAACACAGTAAATAAGTATTGGGGTAAAAGTCTCCAAGAAGAAAAGAATAGTTTAACACAGTTAAAACCCAAAAGAAGATAAAGATAAAAGATAAAGCTCCACTTAAAAGGGAAAAAAAATCTAGAGACATCGAAATGTTTCAAGACAAGAAAAGAATATAGCAAAGACATTTAGATACAAGTAATATTATATCTGCACCGATGAATGACACACAGATGGATATTGATGTAAATGTCAAGTACATATTAGCTTCTGCATTACCAGTCAATAACAAGTTCAAGGTGCTGTTGAAATAAAGGAGTCTTGCAGAGGGAGGCAGATGGGTGAAGGAAAAAGTGTGGTGAGCTCACCAGAAAAACATGAAAGAAGGGGCACTAATGAATACCACATACCCCTTTAAAGGAAATTGCTGATTGGTTATACAATCAATCTCATTAGCATATGAAAAAAAAATGTTGACAACAATGATACAGTAAATTAAATAAGCAAATGTAATATTAAAATGAAATTCAAATTAATTTCAATATACACATAATAAAACTTGCACAGAAGCAATAATTATTAATAATTATATTAACTAGTAATTGAACATAACCTTGTCAAATTATTATCTAAAGAACTCGTACACAATTTTTTATTATTGTCCTGTGCCGTTTTATCTCTCATTCTCACTCTCTTCTCCTCTCTTTTGTTTTGGCATATGTAATTTTTATTTAAACTGTACAATGGTTAAACACAGCACTGATCCAGTTATCAACCTAGGCAGGTGACCAACATATTTAAGCTGACACTCATTAATCAGGAGCAGAATTGTCACAGGATTATGAAATGTAGTACTGTTCGTTAGTATTTACTGGCATTTCTACATAACAGCAAGATATGTATGGATTTAGTACCAGATAAATATGGTATCTTTTATGAGAGTCTCAGTTAAATATATTTTGTGAGTGTACTTGGATGACCTTATATAATGGTTACATTTTATAATGATACAACATGTGAGTGAAAATTTAGGAGGACCGATCTTCAGTGTAGATCTACCAGCTCTTTCACAAGTTGATCATTAGAAACATGACAGTAAAATAAATGTGATTTCTTAGAGTACTCAAGGTGATAAATGACTGGTATGCTGAGCGATAAGAGAAAAATAATAGGTAAATGTAAATATTTCTCTTAAAGGTAAACACCACAAAGTATCATCATGTTGCTCTGAATGTATGTCTGTTGTCATGGTAACTGATATCTGGTAATCATGAGTATCACCTGTACTAGTGATAACCTCCTATTCAGGTTAAAATTTAAGTTTGATTGTTTATTCAGAGTAATAAACAACATAGTGACATATCAATTAAAATGTTTTTTTGTTTCTGATAAAGCACACTAATCCAATGTAACTTAATGATATTATACAAATAATTTCAGATATGTGAAAAATTTCTGGTACACGTAAGTCAAATTGTATCGTGTTAGTTATACAAATATCTCAAAATATTTGTGACTCAAAATATTTACAGGATGTGTATCAATTATTTAACAGCTAAGCTTTTTTTAAACACTTGACAAAAAGGTGGCAGCTTTGAACTAGTGATTCACAATTGGAACTTTAATTAATGAACACAACACAATTTTTTTACTGAGTGTCATTCACACAGACAATTGCTTACAATGGCGTAGTCTCTGTACAGGCATCCATTTCCACCTGGGTAGCACTACTCTGTGACCCGACCTGGAGTTCATAGATACGACTTTGATGACGGAAACACAATTTGGAGGTGAGAATGTCTAGGAATTCGCTGCGGAATGTTCTAGAGAAGAGAAGGCACAGACAAAAGAGAATAATAGTATTAACCCAGGCCATAAAGTATGTCGAGACTCGCGCACGCTCCATCTGGAGCATCAGTTTGCTGTCCTGTAGCCAAGATGGCGGAAACGTCTTGTTGATGACGTTCATCACAGTAGGTGGAAGCACTAACAGGAAGTAGATAGTGGATAGTGCCAGCGTTGTGTGTGTTAGTACCATCTGGTGTGGACCTAGGTTATGGGTATGCTTGACTGGCCTCTTAAGGCAGAGACCTGTTATGATGAGGATATTAAAAATGAAGAGTAGTGCAAGGGGGATAAATGAGTAAAACGAGGCGGACATCCATGGCCAAATCATAGCATGGATGTCGTTCTCATTGTGGAGGGGGAAACAATTGTTCATTAGTTCGTATGTCCACATGGCATGGATACTGACCACTACAAGTCCTACGATGATGATGACCGCCGCAAATTTAGCCATGAAGATAGTACACATTGATGACACCTTCCAGGGGTGCCAAATGACTATGTACCGGTCGATCACCATGGCAACAACAAACCAGATTCCAGAGTACGATATCACACGCATAATAAACTGCCACAATCGACACAACCAATCGGATCGGTTATCTATTGTTTTCTCATCAGCCACCCCTGCAATCCATTCAGAGCCCAAAAACAGATAGAGCGTGAGTAGATTGGCTATAGCATAGGATGATACATAGAAACTGATTGAGTAGGGTTTAAATGTTTTCTGATGAAGCACAATCAGTGTGAGAATGTTTCCGATTGATCCAATAAGTATTAGTATTGGGGGCATGTAGAATGTGAAAATAGTATTAAGGTTCTGCATCTCTAAGTAACTAGCATCATAATCACTGTATGTAGGATTGTTGTAGTCCATTTGTTGGTCGGAAGAATTAAAGGTGTGATTGTTGTCATCCACAACACTCGTCGCACTCATGATGTCATAATGCTCCGCAATGGCAACAGAATTGGACATGACTTTTGATATTTCCGTCACTGAATGCCTGAAAGCGTGTTCGCTGAAAATACTTCTTGTACACCAGAAAGAATTTCACGCCGATGAGCTACAAGATTTCTGAGTTAAGGGGCTGAACAATGCATAGCACCATCACTAGAATAGTAATCACGGATTTACCACAAGTTCTCTTAGAATGATGGGCATAAAAATGTCACTAGTGTACGATTTACATCTGGTTGATCCATCTAGTGATTAAAGCTGGACTGATATTGATCTAGTTATCACAAAAGCTGTCTTGGGAACTGTCAAGATAATTCAAGATTCTCTTCAAACTTCGAATGGGGCTTGTATGTATGTATCTGTTCCACAAATGTTCGGCCTTTTTAATGACACAATTCGCAGGAAACAGTTAGGAATAGAGGTCAGTTTTTCCTTTTATTATTTCATCGTACAAGTGCTGTGCTGTCAGCTTCTTAGCCGTGTTACATTTCCTGTATATGGCACGTGATAAGTTTTTAGTTGATGCAATCAGTGGGAATAGATCAGGACTTACAATCCGCCGCACGTTTGAAAATTGTTCCGGCTTCTGTTGAGTGGATTCTATCCAGTGGGTCTTGAGCTGTAGTATGGTTAAGAGCAAGAACGTCTACACACAAGGCTGGTTTTCCCATTTATTCCTGACAGTCAACCAGTTAGGGATAATGCATTGGTCATGTTGATTCTAGTTTTGTTGATAAATCAGTTTTTCACGTATTCCTGCAAATATAGAAATATACAGATTTATATGCCTTGCAAAAATTTTATTCTTTTAAAACTGAAGCAGGAAATAAAGCAACCTTTGAAATATAAATGAAATGGTTTGTTGCTTATAAATTTGTACCATAACACCCAACAATTTTTATCTCAACACCCAACAATTTGTATCTCAACATCCGATAACTTGTACGACAACACCCAAGAACTTGTACCACTACACCTTATAACTTGTACCACAACACCCAAAAACTTGTACTGCAACACCATATAACTTGTACCACATCGCCAAATAACTTGTATGACAACACCAATCAACTTGTACCACAACACCTTATAACTTGTACCACAACATCCAAAACTTGTACTACAACACCATATAACTTGTACCACATCGCCAAATAACTTGTACGACAACACCAATCAACTTGTACCACAACACCCTATAACTTGTGCCACAACACCCAAAAACTTGTACCACAACACCTTATAACTTGTACCACAACACCCAATAACTTGTACCACATCACCCAATACCTTGTACCACAACACCCATCAACTTGTACCACAACGCAATTAATTAATTTTATCACCAACACCCAATAACTTTTTTTCCTTGAAAAGTTCCATGTAAAATAAGTGCTGTTAAGAAAGCTAGTGTCAAGGATATCTTTTACAATATCTGTTGGACGAGAAATGAAGTAGGAATAAAACAATGTATTGAAAGTGACACTTTACTGTAGAGTGTTGTTATTCTCATCAAAGCTATGCTAAGCATGTAGATAGAGACATTTAGCTGGTGCGTTTTTTTTTAACACTACAGACTTAGAGTGCCATCAAAATAACCAAGTTCATATCATGATGGTAATTCCTTTCCGTCTAGCACCTAATCAAGTAGAGTACATGCACACCACCTTCTTTGTAGAATTAGATGGGGACAAGATTACAATAGGAATCTGCCATTTATAGCTGAAACATTCTGTAAATACTTTCACATAAATATTTTACCTTTAAGTCTCTTATTCTAGGAAGTATTGCATTAAAATATTGCGATAATGGCTGTATGTTGTTTATGTAACAACTATTGTGGATGTTCAATTCATCATGGTGTTTATTTGCTAATAAGTTATAATATGTTAGAATTTAATTGTGCAAAACTTGCTATTAAGTATATTAACACACATCATTTGAAAGCCATGCAAAACAATTTATGAAAATATTTAAGTTGTTTTCGTACATAAACATTAGAGTTTATAATTAGCAGTTATTAAGGAAATGACGCAGTTGATCCTTTCTTGGAAATTTGTTTTCTTGATATGTCCTGATATGAAGAAAATAAGTTTTAATTAGTTAACCTTATATCGACCCAGCAATAAGTCCGTTTTTGAAAGTTTGTTTTCTGTTGTCCTTCAAAATGTCCATTCCTGAGGATTAGTCCATATTTAATTGCACGACTGTAGAATTACAAACAATTAAATGCTTTTTTCAATATCCTGCAGTAAGCCCACCACTTAACATTGAGGAAGAATTTATATGTTCAACTTATGGGCTTTTGTTACGGACATATGGTTATTGACTAATGTTTTGTATTGCATTAGGGTCAGTACAAGTTAAAATAATGAAATTAATGATACAAAATGACAATAAATTGACTTTTTTGTGGTTATCCTTCCTTTTTGTGGTAGGTTCTCATGAAATAGAACAGCAAATAACAGTTTTGACCAGTAAAGTCTCAAGGCCACAGTTCTGAAGTAAGAATTGTAATGGTATCGTAAGTAGGTTTCAAAAAGCTAAGAATTCATTATACAAGTATATCCAAGCAATAGTGAGTTACAGTCAAAAGGAGTAATGGTGCAGTTCCTTAATATCCTACATACCTATACTGTTAAAACTTCACCCTGCTTGAGAGTCACTTCAGTACAGACCTATGATTAAACTAATAATTTGATTACAGTTGTCATATATCATCCAGACATCCTCTTTAATGGACATGAGTATTGCTGTGTCAGTCGGTACAGGACACTCGTGAGGTTTAGAAACATAACATTTAATGTTCCTCAGGTCCTTTATTTTATCCTGAAATGTTTTTACCTTTACAAGATTAGAATAGAATGTCACTAGCTGTACTGACTTTTTATATAACTGTGAGGAATAACTTGATTAACCTTGAATTTTGTTGGAATATCCTTATTTTGTTGTGATTAACATGCAGGAGACTGTCAGTCAAAATTTAATAGATTTCATTTCCTTCAAAATCTGAGAGATTACAACAAATAAATTGACTCTTGTTCTTACTTTGCCAAGAAGAAGATTTTATTGTACAAATGATATTTTTGTTTTATCATTAGAGTTTTGTACAGTCATCAATACATCACAAACTGTTCCCATAGACATCACAAACCATTCCCATAGACATCACAAACTGTCCCCATAGACATCACAAACTGTTCCCAAAGACATCACAAACTGTTCCCTAGATATCACAAACTGTTCCCTTGTTCCCATAGACATCACAAACTGTTTCCATAGACATCACAAACTGTTCCCCTGTTCCCATAGACATCACAAACTGTTCCCTAGATATCATAAACTGTTCCCATAGACATCACAAACTGTTCCCATAGACATCACAAACTGTTCCCATAGACATCACAAACTGTTCCTCAAGACATCACAAACTGTTTCCACTGACATCACAAACTGTCCCCATAGACATCACAAACTGTTCCCATAGACATCACAAACTGTTCCCTAGATATCATAAACTGTTCCCATAGACATCACAAACTGTTCCCATAGACATCACAAACTGTTCCCATAGACATCACAAACTGTTCCCTAGATATCATAAACTGTTCCCATAGACATCACAAACTGTCCCCATAGACATCACAAACTGTTCCCATAGACATCACAAACTGTTCCCTAGATATCACAAACTGTTCCCTTGTTCCCATAGACATCACAAACTGTTTCCATAGACATCACAAACTGTTCCCCTGTTCCCATAGACATCACAAACTGTTCCCTAGACATCACAAACTGTTCCCTAGATATCAACAGCTGTCCTTTTATACATCAACAACTGTCCTCAGACATCCTCAACTGTCCTTGTAGACATCATCAGCTCTCCACTTCGACATCAACTGTCCTTGTAGACATCACAAACTGTCCTCATAGTAATCATCAACTGTCTACATAAACATCATCAGCTGTCCACATAGACATCATCAACTGTCCACTGTCCACATAGACATCATCAACTGTCCACATAGACATCATCAACTGTCCACATAGACATCATCAACTGTCCTCATAGAGATCATCAACTGTCTTCATATGAAGTTATTTATTTTTGTGGTTTGTGGGTTTTTTATTAAGTTGATTGCACAAATTTTTAAGTCTATAGACTGTTAAAGTAGTATAAGTAGCTTGATATATTCAAGAATGAAATCAAGTGTTCTTGAAATGTAGTTTTTTTTTAAAAAAACTTCAAAATGGAGCCCTCAAAAATAAATAGATTTACAGAAATTCATATGTTAGATGAGTGTCTATAAACATAAACATATATAAAAAAAGAAATATTATGACAGAGCATCAGGTGTTTCAGCAGTAAACAATAAAACAAACCTGTTATGTACAATATTCTGTCAAAACAAGGGAAATATTTTCAAAATGTCAAGGTTACATTTAGTAGCAATCTTTCTACAGACAGAACACCGCTCCTTTCAGAAATAAGATGTGACACCTATTGGCCATGGGATTGAACATTCATTCCAACCAAAATGGCAGTGGAAAGCTTTGTCATAGCAAAGGGTAATGTTACAATGATTTGAAGTCCCTGTGTGTAGCAAAAACATCATCATATAGGAAATTATGAGATGGAAATAGCAAGATCATCACTCCATCATAACAAAAAATTAGGGATTACAATAGCTAGGTCAACACTCCATCATAACAAAAAATTAGGGATTACAATAGCTAGATCAACACTCCATTGTGAAAGAAAATTACAGATTACAATTGCTGAATCATCACCCCATCAAAACAGAAAATTAGGGATTACAAAGGCAGGATCAAAACTCCATTGTGAAAGAAAACTACAGATTACAAACGCTGGATCAACACTCCATTGTGAAAGAAAACTACAGATTACAATTGCTGGATCAACACTCCATCATAACAAAAAATTAGGGATTACAATAGCTAGGTCAACACTCCATCATAACAGAAAATTAGGGATTACAATAGCTAGGTCAACACTC